ATAACTATTGAACTTAATTAAAATTTCACAGTCCATTTAACACATATCAAAGTGAAAGCAATGAAAAAAAATTAATATTAATTCTTTGTGAGATGAACTGATTAACGAACTGAACAGATGGTGTTTAAATTTGGAATATTAAATTAAGCTATTAAGGATTTGAAAGCTCTTGATTTTAAAGCTCTCAGCGGTTGTAATATGTTTTATTTTTATTAGTTGCTAAGAGTTTGTGATTAGTTAATCAGTTTATCTGTCAAATTATTATTTGAATCAAAATCGTTTAACCGAATCGTAAATAAGTATTATATAATTAGCATCCCGAAAGGAAAAACATAACATTAATTATGTTGTTTACTACTGATGTCGCGACATGGAAATTTTACACCGGCCGGCGACGGTAGCCAGGCCATGAAGTGTTTTAGATTATTGATATATATATTTCGTTATTTAAATTTTAAAGGGCTCGACTTTAGATAGATGAGTTCAGATAATTCGAAGGTTGTAAACAGAATTCGTATCCGTAAGCAAGTACATTAATAGGCCTTGGAGTTGTTTTCTCAAATCATATGACCGCGTTGTTCTTGAAAAAAATGTAACTAAAAACACGCATCCGCGGGATATGTGTATTCACACGTATGAATGTGGTCGTTCATAATTATATAAATGATACTATTTATTATATCAATTTATATTGAATTAAATTATATAAATTTATATCGCATTATTGAACTACAATAATCAATTTAAAATAACGAATTTGCACCTGTTAATATTCTTAGAATTAACGAACATTCATCATCTTAATAATCGACGGTTTCAGAATGAATTTTATTTTGACGTGGGCGCCTCAGGAAACGAAAATTTCATTTTAGACACATCAAAGCCCAAAGTGGAAAACTTTTGACAAAGTTGAAGGGCTGGAATTCTATATATTTTGACAAGGCTTTCTTCAATTTTTGTTTTATATTATTGACGTGAGAGAAATTAGACACCTAATTAATGAAATTTATTTACTTTACAAATCTATACTATTATTACCTTATAAATCTATATTTCTCTAAATAGAGTAGTAAAAATTACCAAAGTGGTTCTTTTTATAGTTTCTCTATAATTTGTCAATAACCAGATATTTGCTTAATAAGCTTTAATATATACACATTTTATAGAATATGTATGCACCTGATTTTTATAATTCCGCCAATTTTTACAATTAGCAAATTTAATCTAATGTAATCTTTGCAACATGATTATTTATTATTTACTTAATACGAACACATTCTTCAGTAGAATTATTATTATGTCTTTGTAAGTTATTTCCAAATAACTATTGATTCACTCCTCGCAGGGCAAATTCTAATAATCGCAAAAAATCTAAAATATACATTTTTGCATATCTTTACTTTTTATCTTGAGGGTTTCTGAACATTTTGGCATATCCTAGAAAAACTTTTGTTCGTTTGTGTGTTTGTGTGCGGATACAACTTTTCGTCAACGATTTTGAGAGCACGGATTGACTGTTTTGAATGTTTCAAAAAAAAATTGATTTCTATTGATGGACAGACGTGCTCGTTAGGTTTTGAAAAAAGCAGTTACAGTCATTTTAGAGATGAGGGGTAAAAAGTGCAATGTATATGAATTCAGGTTTTGAGAGAACGGAGCATCCGATTAGAATGTTTTGAGAGAACGGAGCATCCGATTAGAATGATTCAAAAAATATTTTGCTTGTTGACTATGTGAAGAAATGACACTATTGTAGTTTTTGGGGGAAGACAAGTTGAGAGAAACATCATTTTTCAAAAAGTATCGATAATAATTGAGGGGTCTTATTGAAATTTTCTAAAATATACAAAGTTTTTTCTAAAAATTTCAAAATTTTAACGTTTCTTTATATAGTTGAAATAAATAATTTTAACTTTGCAATTCAGTTTCAAAATGTTTATGTGATAAAAATAAGTAATAAGATGAAATAAGAAGTCCTCAAAAGCGTTTAGAGCAAGATGCATTCCAATTAGATTTTGTTTATTATTTGTTCGTTTCTTGTGAACATATAAAGATCATCACCCAAATATAAGCACTTATGTTATACATATTAGATCTATGTAGGAACTTATAGCGATTGATTATTGATTTTATTTATTCCTCGAACATTCATTTACGATACGGGAAGTTCCAGCAATTTCCTTTATCCTTGCGTAATAATCTTGTTCTTCTCGAGTATTTTTCTCGTAAGGGCTACGTGATCCAAAACACGCGTATCCCAGTCACGTTTTACATTTGTTCACACATACTTACGCACACATCTACCTTCGATTTAGGGACACGCACACTTACGCAATATTTTTTTATTAGCGAGGGCCCGCTTCCAAATAGTACACAATATACGAGAACATTCGAATGACTAATACCAGACTTCAACGTCTGCTGACTTGTAATACGAGTAGTACCGTTAAAAACATATTTAAGACATGCTGCATGCGTTGATGAATAGTTTCATTGAAGAAAATATTACTATTATGCATTGAATATCATGTGATTATTATGACAGAGATAAGGATTCATGGTGAGCTGAGTATCATTATCACGAGATTATGTTTTAAAACACCTGAGTTGAAATACTGTATTGTATATAATACTCCAAAAGGTGTCGACGACACGCAAATACTCGAAGGTAAAATTAGTGGGCGGAAACTGACATGAATCGCAATTTTCACTCATTAATTAAACGGTAGCAAATTAATTCCAAGTTGACGTGACGAGCGTTCAAGGATATTAAGGTTGAAATTGACTGACGGTTGTCGTATAATACAAATTTTTTTTTGTACATTTATAATATTTTCTTTTTCTCTAATAATTTTACTCTGGATATGCTATTCTAATCCGTCATAAATTATTTATTAAAATTTATTTAAAATTCAAAGATAATAGAAAGAAATTAAATACATCTCTATTAAAGGACAACTTCCCCAATGGGGAAGTTTGTTTTTGCGAAAAAATCCTATTAGCTAATTTTATGTTTTATCTGAATTTCAAGTCATTCTTAAACAAATGAGAGCAAATTTGCACAAAATAGCTGTGTGTGTATGTACTCACGTCGACGTTTTCTCAAAAACTGGACCAATTCAAAAATTAAAAAGATATTAGTTGTAACTCTATAAGGAATAGCATTTATGAGTTTTGCGCAACGATCAGCCGAGCCGTTTCTTTAGTTTTTGCAGACGAGCGTAAAATTATTTGTCCACGTTTTAGTTCTTAATTCTAAATCGATTTTAAAAATTCAGCAGCGGTTCAAAAGATATTTGGTTGGGAATCGCATTGTTTAGTTTTTGGTAAAAATCTGGCGCTTCGTTTCTTTGTAATTAAATGTGGAATAATTTTTTTTGTAATCTTGATGAAACTTTGTATAACGATAGATTTTGTAGTCTGAAATAACTTACTAAAATATTGTTTGCCTACGATAAGCTGTTGCATTATAAAAAATCACCAAAGTTTAGAATTTCGCCATGAGCTTTATCGATTCTTATCAGAATCTATGTCGAAGCATATGCACCTTTTCTGGAACTTTCGTAGGTAGCTACTGATTACGGTTGACATTCACACTTAGATAAAATATTTTTTCAGAACATGAAATAGATTTTTTTTTATTTATTCTTCATAGCAAGCTATACAAAGTACATTCAGCTACATTTCTTATAGTTATATATTATTTGTCTGCGTGAGAAGGATCGCTATCCTGCGATAGCGCCTTCATAGATGTTATGTTATATTTTGTAGTAAATCATTGCAGATTCTTTTTTTGAGACGCTTTGGTGGTAAAGGCTTAAGCAGATTTGATGCTAATACGTTTGGATGACAACTTAGACGAGCTTTGTATCTGGTGCAGTAAAGACTAATTTCTTCTTCTATAGTTCGAATTCTGAGATCTTGATGTATCAACCAATTGGGAACGTATTTTGGAGCGTTCACGATTTCTTTCAAAATTTTATTTTGGAACCTTTGTAGAATAGTTATGTTCGATTTACTGGCCGCACCCCATAGTTGTAGGCCGTAGGACCATATTGGTTTAATAATTTTCAAAGTATGTTCGAAAGGCATCAATTAGAAATAGTATTTTAATTTTGCAATTCAGTTTCAAAATGTGATGATGTTTTAGTGAAAGCGAAAATTTTTATTTTCGAAATAGAAGTTGAACTTTTTGCCGAAATAGCTAAATATCAATTCATATTGATAGCTAAATATCATAGGTTGATTATTTATACGTATCAGAAAGTTCATGCAACTTTCCTTCAGGCAAAATGCTACCTACATTCTAAAATAATTGAAACAAAATTAACTACATCTCGATTAGAGGGCAATATTTGATTGAATTCGTTTTAGATTCATTTAATGATTTTTTTTATGAATAATAGCAATCAAGATACAATGGAATATTATAAGGGATTGTGGCATAAACGAGAGAGGATTCTAAGAAAAATAATAATTTAGATTCAACTCCATTGAGAGAAGTCCACTGTCCCATTTGAATAATAGAATTTTTTAATGTATAAAAATATCCTTGTTACATAAATGATTATTGAATATTATGCACACATAACTCGATCTTTATTTATGTTTTCCTACAATTTTTGGGTTACTGAAAATAACCATCCCTTGCGACACCTTGCGATTTCCTTCCCAACATCGCCGCGCCGGCGCCTCTGTCCGGCATTCCCACGTGATCCTCGCTCCGCGCGAATCACAAGCCGCCGCGTGATACCTACACATGTACTCCGTTACGCTCGTAAACGTGCCCGAAACAAACTCGAACAGTTCGCGTTGATTCTTCTTGTTGATCGGCTGCGCGCGCTTTTTCTTGCGTCTTTCCAAACATCCTTTGGAGAAAATTAAACAAACCTTTGATAAATCTTCTATTTCTACGATTCAAGATAATTTCTTCGGGCTTTGCTTTAACAGCTCGCGTGGGAACGCTCGTAAATGGGCAAATTTGTTATGCCCGCTTGTAGAATGTTATATGGTTGTACATCTGTGAGATTTTGTTATACCGTGAATTGTTGCATTTGGCGTTATATCATTATTTCGGGTATTTGGAACATTGTTAAAATTTGAAAATTTCAAAAAAATCCGTGAAAGGAATTTTGAAAAACGTTCCTTATTAAATAAACGACGTTGAAAGTTATTTGTGGTCATAGTACTGCAATGTGTCCTATCACTGTGGAAAGGAATAATAACGAATCTCATTCCTGTAAGTTTAATGTTAATATATTAATTCAATCTCTAACTTAATTAAATTCCATTGATTTTATTTACATTGTATGTAAAACACGTGAAATGAACAATCGTTTAGTCTATAGATAAAGTGAAAGTTTTGATTCAACACAATGTTTATCATGTTACTTTTTAAAACTCTATTTATTTCATTTATAATATTTTAATCATTTAAACTGGGTCCTCAATGATAATGCTGAATTTTATCAATGCTTTGTTATAAAAGATAATACCTACAAACAAACATTTCAATGAAGTCTCACGATGATTTTTATTTTTTATACATGGTTTATGATTTACATCCACGCATTTTTAAATCTTAATACCTTTATTATACAGAGCGATTGTATTGCTTTCTCTTCGATAATTCGTGTAGTTAAAGAATCCAAATATTTGGATTGAAATGAATAAAATTTCGTCAAGTATTTATTTGCATTCACCTGTGATTTCCCTGGAAATGATCTAAATATTGTAACATAAGCTCTGGCGGCGCTAGGGCACGCGTGGGCGTCGGCAAATTTAGGTCCAGCAACGCCCTTTGTATCCCCAACAAGAACTCTTTGTTTAGGCTAAATTATAGTTGATTTAATATATAGTGAAAGGAATTTATAGCCAATCAAATGACAAAATTGCACAAATTTTAAATGACTAGAAACATTGCGAATCCCCCTGAAGCTCGAGGCCGTCGGCAACCGCGTACGACCTCGACACTTAACGCCGCCACTGCTAAAAAATTTTCAGAAAATTCTCTATAATCAGAAGAAATATATTTCAGAACCTTTGTTTGTTTACTACAAAAATTCCTGAACCATTTTTTGTTAATTTCGTCTGTTATCTAACGGTATGAAATCATATTTAATCATAACACGAAGAAAAAAACTAAGCATTCTATCATTATAAATCAAGTGAATGGAATTCTCTGTAAGAGTTTCACACTATGCCACGCTTTGTCAAACTTTAGCGACGGTAATAAATTATGAACACTTTATTAAAAAGCCAGACGAAGATTTGAATTAGTAGTTTCTGGATGAAGATGAAACAATTTTTTGAAAGGTTATTTAATTTGCCTTAGATGTATATCACGACTCCTAGCAACTTGAACTCAATATTTGAATGACGTTATGTCTATAACAATAATAATAATAATATATAGTAGTCTATGATGTTAGATCACAAATCATTTTGGAACTTAAACATATATACAATTCTATTTTAAACTAGGGATCGATCAAGTATTACGTAAGCAGATTTATTACAATTATTTACCCCCTCCATCCCCCTTGTCAGCAAAAGTAAGTAAAGCTCTTACCCCCTACCCCCATGCTTACGTAAACATTTTGCAATTAATGTAAAAAAATAAAAATACTACCTATGACGTAATCGTCATTCATTCTCCCCTGCCCGCCATGTCAACCCACATAAGCAAATCAACAACCCCCCGCCCCCCTATAGTGCTTACGTAATACTTGAACAGCCCCCTATCAGTTGACATTTTATTGTCATTCAGAAATTAGCTTAATAATAAATAATAAAAAATCCTTGCTATTATGATAGAGTCGCTATTCCTCCACCAAAGCAAGATATCTACTTATGGAATGTTTCTTACAATTAGCGCCAAAGTCTCAAAAGTGCATCACATCTTCAGGAGATAACCTCTTGCATTATGTACAATTGTCATTTTTTAGTCATCTATTGTTGACATTCGCTTTGTTCATATAATTGACATCGCAATGTTGTGTGGAATATTCGATACGAGAGAGAAAATTACCCAAGGCCGTCTATGGTCACATTTGAATCGGTCGACTAAGTTCGAGTCTGATCTCACAACACTCTATCTGGCTGAGTAGAGATTCTGTAAAAGTAGTTAGAACTCATATGACTCATTCAGCTATGCTGGTAGTTTTTCGAAACAAATGTATACATGAGTATTAGAGTAATTGTTAAAAGCAGGCTTGAAAAACTGGTGGAATGGTTGAGGTTGGAAAGCTAGGGAAAAGGCTTTGGACTTTTGAACAATGGATACTTCAAATCAACTTTATATTTCAATGAGTATACGAACTTATTTATTGAACTTCAAATACATATCACGTACTCTGATTCTTCTGCTTCCACAAAACGAAATCTGGATTTTGTACGTGGTTTTCGATGTTGGTTGGAATTCCGAACGATGGACGCTCTATGCATTCGAGTGTAGGCAACACATAAATAAGCTCTCTGCCAGATGAGCTCTTAAGACGCTTTATATGCATTCCACGGCGTAATGTAATTGCCAATCGCATTCCTGCTTGTTTTTAAAAATCTATGTTCTATGATTACATAGTACTGCTAGAAATTAATTCCTTGTTAGGATAATAATTAGAGTAATTAGAGCTAGTAAAAGCTTGCAACTTATTTTCAAGTTTCTGCAAAAAAAATAGTAATTATGGAGTTTGTTATTGAGTTTAATCAGTACCAAGAGAAGGAACTGATAACTTCAAAGAGGACGCAAAGTACCAATATAAATGATCATGTAAATAATAAATAATTGAACTTGGGAAAGTACTCTTAGAAGTTACCAATATATTTATAAGTTATCAATTTACTGCATCAATTGAAATTTCTATCAATTTTTTTCATATTTGCAAAGTACGTATCTAAACTCTCTATAAAGTGCATTTGCACCAGTAATTCTCAGACACTTCTAAATTTTGCTTACTTTTGCAATGCACATCTAAATATGACCTTTACAACTGCAATTATCATTATCCGTTATTATCCACATGCCGATATAATTGATTAATGATGGAATGATCGTCTAATAATAAATAATACTCAGAAATTGATTTTTCAAAGAATAAATGATAGTTTTGATTGATTATCCTATGTGATGCTAATGATCTTTTGAACTCTTTCTGTTTATGATTTTTATTTATTGAAATACATGCGGTCTTGTTTATTAAAAGGAAATGGGGTTATCTTTATTGATGTAATAGTAATTATTTATAGATAAAAATCACAGTTTCGGTGATTTCTTAATAGGGCTATAATTGAGTTATGAAATATAATATCATAAATGGTAAGAGTTAAGTATCCACTGGTTTCATACTCACCTGATATCAAGCAGTAGCGATATCAGATTTTCTTAATTTTTCGGGGTATTTCTGCAAAAATAATTGAGTCAAAAACACCAATCAAGAATGTTAAAAATACATCACAGCGAGAAAGGACAACTACTGGGTTACCTTCTAAATTTCCATCTGTTAAAACAACAAACCAATTACTGAATGTCTTAATATGATAATAGACAAATTTTAATTAGAGTAGGAATAAAGAATTTATCATCTATTGCCATTATACGGATAATAATAATATATAATATTTAATAATGACTCAATAGGTGATATATGTGAATGTATTAAATAAACAATTGATAGCAATTGCATAGTTATTCTAAAATTATCAATGTAACGCAAAACATTCATAATAATCTATTTATAAATAATTACAATTTATTTAATGATTTTGAAATATTGATATAGATGCACTAATGTCGTCTTAGTTGAAAACAGTTTTGTAATTCTCTATAGTTGATTGAATAATTAGTTTAAATATATCTTGAATGCTGATGAATTTTATAATATATCATTCATAGTTATGGTTTTTCATTGATATTTACATAGTACAATACTCACATCAATATCTTCAATGTCAATATCTTCAATGGATGAAGGTATAGAAACTTAAGTTCTCTGGTTGTGGATCGCTGGTCCTACTCAGACCATGCACTCAACTTTGGTCATATTTTAGTGCAAATTTAAAGTTGGTATTATATAATACACCTGTTAATATTTTTGTTTACAAATCAATGACAGTATGATGGGGCAATGGTTACATCTCAAGCAAGAGAAAAGTGTGCCTTCGACTTCACACGAAGCTTAAGTTCGTTGAACCATCTGCGTATGTGCACGCATATTTATAGTCGTACCTACCCGCATATGCACCTATTAAACTCAATAAATGGATTCAACTAAGAAAAAATCTATTTTAGTTGATAACTACATTTTTATAGAAATTTCTTCACAATATAAAACAACTCTATGCGATCGAATTGGCACTCTGTTCTATTCAAACATGTTTTATTGATGATAATAAGTTGTCTTGTTTTTGTGAGATAAGTTTCTAAGAACAATTAAAACCTGATAATAAAATTATTAGCAAGAAACTATGTATATTTGAAGAATAGATCATAGATGTTTTATTGCTATCATAACAATAATTTATTTATAGTACTTATAGCTGAACGTCAATTAAACTTCTATTTATGTTTTACAATGCACGTATATTATTTTTATTATTACTGCAACAAAATAACAAAAAAATCATGATTATTCTAACGAGGTTTCTGTGAAGACGTCCTCGTGGCGTGGCTGTGATTTGCACAACGCCAATGCAATATTTGCATTTCGTGTCAAAGCAATCAAAACACTTGTTACGACGTCTTGTAAATCCCCATTTAACAATGGATTCACAGAATAAATGTCTTATTCAAACAGTAAAAAAACTTTGCTTCAAACATAAATATTTTTATAGTAAAATCCATTTAAGTTTTGTCTGTTTTTATACTCATTATCACTTGCACATTTTTTTATCTTTTATTTAATTACATTGTTTGGCAAACTGTTTTTTTCGGTTTACCTTGGATAAACATTAGAGGCAGGTGACTTCTTTAATTTAGTAGCTTTTGCCTTTTGAGCAACAAAATTAGTTTTACTTGGAGAATCAAGTCGCGCGGGCCAAATTCATCAAAATAACGTGAGTGAGAGAAAAAATTGATATTCAGATCTATTATTTATAATATAACTTTCTATATGGTACCAACATTATACATATTTTTTTATCTTTGTAGTTTGCCATTCAATTTTGATAAATTGATTTATTCACAGTGAAGTTTCTTTTTCCTTTGTGTAGTTTTCTGTTTCAAGTTTTTAGTGAAAATAT